TTTTTTATAAATTGATGATATGAACACCATTTTCACTATTAAATACAGATAATAATATATACTATGTAATTTATGAGTTAATTACTATTTCATTCAGAATTCTCACAATTATTTTATTATTATTTGTGTGAGTTAAAATAATACGTGTATGTTTATATATTAATGTTTTCAATTGTTTAATAATGCATTTATGTGCAGTAAGTATTCAAGAATTCATGTATAAATGAAATCATAAATATATGAAAATTAAGTATGGTTCCTCCCATAAGTTCATGAATTATTAAAATGACCTTCCTCCTATAAAACTGACTGCACTTGAGCTTATAAATAATATGATACAATGAAAATGTATATTATCATATATATCGGAAGACAAGTTTAAAACATAACTCTACAATATATGTTAATTACATCAATGAGAAACAATACAAAGAGAATTGAATAGTGACATTATAACTATGAACATAAAAATTGACATCAATACAACAAAGTATACATATAATATTAAGGCATAATATGATTGATGATGACTGTTTTTGCCGGCTCGTTTCGATATGGATATTTTTTACGGAAGGCACACACACACACACACACACGCTACACCAAACACACACGTACGCACTCATTTACACAAAGTTAGTTATCATGCTCCTTTTATAATTGTGATTTATAGAGGTATTTATATTTATCGCAAAATTAATTTGAATCTTTGTTGGTATTTCTTTTATATTATTGTTAATTTGTAATTTCTACCCTACGTTATCATTTTAATTTTTAAATTGAATACCAAGTGAGTTTCTGTAATTGGATAAAGTACCGTTTAAAATTTTGTATTAGATTATATTGTGTAAAACGCTGTTGAAACTTGTTGATGATAAATAAATAAATGATAAATATCCGCATACTATATTTATATGTATAAATGTGTTGCCGACTCTGCACTTAACTATTCGTATTTCGTCTGCAGACCCGTTTTTCCCAGTTCCCAGGGCACTTTGGGCAAGGCCCCGCGATCGACAGGGGAGCGCCCTATCGATCAAATACAAAGTCCCTAGTTCTTGTTAATTGACCAAACGGAAGTCAAAGGGGCCCCATTATCCTAATATGCCCAGGGCCTCCAATAGGTCAAAGACGGCACTGTTCGTCTGTTCTTATCATGCTTTATAAAGAATGAAAAGGACAGACTGATGACAAGTTTCCAAGTAGCAAACACGAACAGTCAAAAGTGCAGACATAACAAATACAGTTGTTCGGTAAAGGAATTGGTTATATCATTTACTTTAATGTAGCTAAAGCATTTTCTGAAAATAATTCTTCTCGGGCAATGTTTTTCAGAGAAGTTTTTTTTTTTCTCCAGAATTACTTTTAGCAGCACCGTTCAAAAGAATAGAACTAGTAAAAATTTAAAATAACCGTACGGTATTCAAGGTACCATTAAGTGAAACTCGTAATATACTCACATCTCTAAATATACCAAACAACACGAAAATAAATATTATACGACTAAAATATATTTTAAAATATTTCGACTAGCGAATTAAACACATTTATGATCAATTCATAGGAGCGCAGAGTAGAAGCGTATAGAAAGTTAATTTCAGAAACAGTAACATATCAAGTGAAGTTCTATCCTAATATAATAATAATCTGTATCGACTGCGGTGGTGCTTCTTTTTACGTTCCAATTTTCTCTCCAATCTTCTAATCTTCCGTTTAATGTGTTCACAATTATCTTTTTTACGTTTTTAACACAATTTAAATAAAACTAGATGTAAAACGGCGACACGCGCTAGGGCTTACCCATACTCCAAATTTAAAGAAAAGAAAAAAAAATATTTTTAGTTTATATATTATCAATATAGTGTGAAATGGCGCGTGCTACGAGTACTACGGTTGCTTTCCAATTACAGCATTATAGCGTATTATGCGGCATAATGCTTAACGTTGAGTGTTCCAACTACAGCAACGCTTCGCACAATTGAGCACTCTCAAAAGTGATGCTTTCGTATGATGCGTGCAATGGTACCAACTTAGAGAAAGAAAATTAACAAGTGTTTTTTCTTTAAGTTGGCATTGATCGAAATGTTTTATTTATATGTTATCGTTAGTAATATTATTTATTGTTGAAAAATTATTAAAGCTTTCGTTTCATTAAATAGTTTTTTTTTTAAATAATCAAAGTTCATTCAAACTGTTAAAAAATAAATATAAGTATGGATGAAGGTACAAACATTGACTTTTTTTTCAACACTGAACTTAGCGCACTCTGCTGGTGCATTTGAAAACTAATTCACGTTCCAATTAAGCATCAGCATAATTGGGCATTGTGCGGCACTGAGTCACATTATGCTCTGTAATTGGAAAGCATACTATATATGTTATTCAAGCTAATCTCTTCGGACGAAGCCTTCGTATAATCACCATTATCTATGTAACGTAGTCCACGTATTCCTTCTGAGTTGATAATAAAGAGAGATTATTATGTTCTCCTTTTTTCCGATGAAAACGGAGCTGCGCAAAACTGTGGCATGGCCGATTACGTTTACGATACGGTTCTTTTGCATTAAAATATGATTTCAATGTTAACTATGATTTCACGCGCGTATTAACAAACTTTAAAAAATTCAAAATTCAAGAAAATCAAAATTCAGTATCGTTTATTCAGTCTAGGCTGTTACAAGCACTTGTGTATGTCGAAAAGCTACGCCATCGGTTCGCAAATCTACCTTGTACTGAGAAGAACCGGCAAGAAACTCAGCAAGGGCTGTTTTTTTCTCCCTGTATTATATACAGAGTCGTCAAATTGAAAAATGACTTCAATATGAGGTGACTTTGAATTACAAATGCAAATAATATAAAAATTATGACTATAAAATAAAAAAATGTAAAAAACTGGTTTAACAAAGTTTAGGAATGCCGTGGCTTTTGTTTAGGCAAAAAAATAATAATGAACGATTAAAGTTTAGTACAACAATTATTAGTACCCAATGAAGCAAGAGCAGACTCATCTCCGCTAGCAGCACCCGTTCACGAGCATGACGCGTGAACCAGCCATCGCTTCGCTCAACCATTTTTTAAGGAACGCAACGACCTGCCTCACACGGCACTTTAAAAGCTACACTTCAGGAACCTCACTCAACAGTGGCACCATCTGGTGAGACAAATAACGGTAGCCCTCATTCGCGCGCCACGCGTCTTCTTTTTATCACAAATGGATATGTATAATTACGATGCGTAGATAATGGTGAATTTGCTATGTTAAGTTTCTGAAATTCGCTTGGATGGGCTGCGACTCTGCGTCAGTATGAATTGACCATTACATACCTATAACTTGGAATGTACAGCTTTAAATATTTCGCAAAACACACAAATGACCGTTTGTATTACAAATATTATGATTTTTTTTTCCACTTTAAAGTACCCAACGAATTTATCCACATACTTTAGATTCAACTAACGGCAGTTAAAATTATTACATTTTTAACGTGCCACTTGACTTTTTACCTTATTTTAAGCGTTATAAGGTTAGTTCGTCTATAATATTTTGTTAATAAATCAATACAAGGAAACATAATTTGTTTGAATCAAATTTCCAAGTTCACAGAGAACTTTACAATAATGTAATACCCACCTTATCGAGAAATAAGCGGGACAGGCAGAAAAAATAAAATAGTATTTTTCCTTCCAATAGAGAAAAAATTAGCTCAGGTAGGCGAAATAAAACCAAAACAAATTGTGCAGTATATTTCATGTGGCACGCCAAAAAACTATGTATGATAGGCAGGCTAATAAAAGTTTTGTTCTATAGTAAAAAATGTAGATTAACATTAGAAAATAATGTTCATGATTATACTAACGTCTTAAATGTCCGTCTCCTTGAATATACTGCAAGGGTTGTCCATGTTGAAGTGTATGTAACGAGAGTTTGGTGATTCCGCGACGCTGTCGGATTGGCTCTCCGGATCCTCCGTCTTGGTGTGCTTAGGCGATGTTTCCGAATGGAACTCCTGTCTGTAGTTGCCTGCGGAACAGTGATGGTGTCAATGGGTTTTATATATAGAACGAAATTAGAATAATTGTTTTTGAAATTAATTAAGTATAGAAGAAAAATCTGATTAAACGAAATTTCAAAATTTAAAATTTATTTTTTTCAGTACATCATTTCTTTATTTTGATTCAGCTATCAATAAATAGACAAAAGAAGAAGAAGAAAAAAATCGGACAAGACTGGGAGTCGAACCCAAGATTTTAATATTTTTATAATCAATAACTATTTAGGTTAATTATTAGAATTATTAGTAAAGATGTTATTAAAAACGACTGAAGCTAAGTAACTTCAATGTGCGAAAACAATCAAAACAAAACACTTCTACTACAAACAAAAGAAAGTGAAAAAGCAAAAAATTGCAAATAAAAAATAAACAAAAAGGGTACTTACAAGCGAACTACAGTACACTTCAAAGCTTATAATGTTTAGTGGGTTCTGGCGGGTAAACAAGACAGTTAGCGCCATGTCATATTTAAAAATTATGTGGACCATTGCTGCTGGACATTCCATGCTGGACAAGGAGTGAAAGGGCTATAATCTTTTCTGCGGGCGAAGCAGACAAAATACTGGTTACCTCAAAACGATATTTAAAAAAATCACAGACATTTATGTATGTCATATCGTCGCCCAAGTAGCTATTTACTTAAAAACTATCAACTTTTCAATAGAAATGAAAATCAGTGAAGCCCAACTAGTGTTGCTTAAAAGTAGACCTATTTTAGAAATCATTTAGACGAAACGTTTTGTAATAAAAAAATATTATTTTTTTCATTTTATCTCTTTTTCATTTTTGTTCACCTAAAAATCAGGCTGCAGTCAACTGTTTGAATTGACTTACTTTTGTAGCCAACATATTTTAACACAATGTAATAAATAATAATTTGCGTGTATTATTAACTCAATACGACATGACGCTAAAATGTTAAATGGTAAAAATTTATATTTATCAAGATTTTTCAAACATTATATTAAGAGGACAATAGGAAAAATACAAGAAAAAAAATAATACGTATACATATAATACAGAAAATAAAAACAAACTATTTCAGTGCGAATGTTTATAGATAACTAGCACCTCGTTACAATAACAATGTAGCTTATTAATTTGTACAACCGTCAGCATAACGTCATAACGATTTTAAACTTTACTTGCTAAGCTAAAGTTTAAAGTCGTTTAGGAGATTTAAAATCTGTTTGAAATTACTTTATTGGCTGTACTACATTTGATATCGGTTGTAAGTTCCATTAGATTATTATCTAACTTGCAAGATTGTAAACTACCGACAGATTTTTTACCATAACACACTGCTAACACAATTTAACGCATTATTTTTAGGTAGATTATAATCTATCGAAGTGAAATGGCATACGACGGAAAGTACCTCGCGGGGTAATTGGTTGAACGTCATGTGCCCCGCGCCGCCTTATTATGTCTGTTAATTCGTTTGTTGTCGAATTTAAACAAAAAGTGGTGTAGAATCTGGCAAGATTCTCTAAACCTAAAATTTTATTTAACAACAATGTATCCTAGTCTTTCTTTATACAGAAAGAAAGGGAGAGACTGATGAAAAATTTAATTTTACGTGTAGAAAATCTTGTCAGAAGCGACACCAGTGTTTAAGTGAATTTAAATTGATTTCGTGTTAAAATAACTTGTAGTTGTGTAAATAAAATGAACCTGTGATGAACCAAAGAAGTGCCAAAAAATCTTATCCTATGAACACAGAACGGCCTATTGTTAGACAATTCAATCAGTGACCGTCTTTGAACAGTTGATAATTTAACGCACGACATATTTTGATTTAATAGATTCGCTTCGACAGATTATCACCTACTAAAAATAATGCGTTAAATTGTAAGCAGTATGTTATGGTTCATAATCTTTGGACAGTTTACAATATCGCGAGATAGATTATAATGTAACGGTATTTAAAATTTTAGGTGACAGGTACATTAGTATTATAAGTACCTACCGTTTCTATTAAAATAAATTTAAACGTAATAAATGCACTGCCAACGTATTTTTTTAACGAAATCTTTTTTATGCTATTTAAATAAGGTACTAGTAAGGCCATGAAATGGTCAATAAAATAGCATGGAGATAATATCCACTTCACACTATTTCCCATTATTAAAAAAGCTACGTTTGTTAATACAGTTTGACATTGACAGCGCAAATTATACGTAGCAATACTATATACGCGCATCATATAATAGAGCGGCATTTTCTGTCACAGATGTATAATATACTCGTATACTCTAAGGAAGGAAATCAACACTACTACAACACTATTCGCGCCAATTCAGATATGAAACAAAAATGGCGGCTACTAATATTTTTTTCCTCCCGCACATCCTTTCAGGAATCAATAAAATGCAGAACATTTTTCGGTCATCACTTTAGTATAATTTCTTAAATGCTGCGACTCGTACCATTTATAATACGTCTTCGGCCGCTTTTTTAATTAGAAACTAACTTTTAATAAACGATAAAACAATGATTCATTCTTTAATTGAGATTGTAGGAATGTAATGCTTTATCTATTTCCTTTGTTTGGAAGAAGACAGAGCGGCCACATATACATAATATTAAACCTATCCATATGGTTTGTTATTTAATCAAAAGCATAAGCTTTATTTACGTCAAATCTAAGTTGTTGGTCCGATTTAATTACGAAAAGACTGCAACGGTATATATGGTGTTGCTATTATTAAAAAAAATATACGTTGCAGTCCATGGACTAATCGCTCTTTAATTTCATTATGGCTTAAAATACTATGAAATTGTACTTATGCATAATTATACTTGGTAAAATGAGATTAAATTTAGTTATGCATTTAAAAAACATTAACAACAAAAGTAAGTATTAAATTTATATTCCGCTTGAGCAGAGCTAGACTAGATTATTATTTTAAGCATTTGGTATAAACATTGTTCAGTACAAGAAAAACAAATACAGTAGAACCAATAGGCTATTTGACAAGTTTTCGAAAACGAACATACGTTATTTGTTAGTCAATAGTAATTTCATAGAAACGGGATATTTATAATTATGTTGCGTGTATTAGTTGAAAAAAATCAAAATTAAAATTATCTTTTCAAATAATTATGCGCCAGAAACGTTTCTCTAGCAAATATGGCGCGTTACAGGCAGGTGATGTCTCATGGCTCTCATTAAAACGTCAAGCAGTACAAAGTAATGACACTTCGAGATCATGTTTACAAGCAGGTGACGTTATTTTGGGCGTTTTTGATTATGTGACAATAGATCAAAAAATACTTTTCTATTTTATGATTAACTATTTTTTTTGTTAAAATAGTGACATCACTCCTAATGTTCACCAAAATTGATACTTTATTTTTCATACTGTCAAATAGCCTATTTTCTTTCAGAATATTAAAGTAACGACTTCATCGAAGTCTTTTTACATTGCATGGGGTAGTGTGAAATGTCTATTCTGTAGAAAAAATATATTGATTGGGGTTTTTTCTTATCACTTAGATAATTAGAAAATTTCACACGAACATTCCGATAACCTTATACCTAATAAGGTAAAAATAACATAAAGCAAATTCATTCTTCTCATTCCTAATGCAAAAATTTAATTCCAAATTCAGATATAAAAGTTTACTTTTGCAATAAGAAATGAAAAACATAGCTTTTAAAATATTCAAAATATCTTTCAACTTGGAAAACTTTAGGAATATAGTTTTTTTGCGTATTCAGTCACAATCGTTAAAAATACATTTTGACGTAGAAATTTAAAACTTATATGTAATAATAATTGTTTAAAATACACATTGAATCAGAACCAATGAGAACATATAACGTATTGTAAATATTTAGTAAAATGTACTTTAATACATTAGAAAGAAGGTACAAAAATGCATTGAGTAAAGTAATGGAGTGTTGATTGCATGAGATCTAACTACATTCGATTTTTTCTGATATTACAAAGCTACATAAGTTATTTGCTAGGTAGGTCTGCGTTACAATTATCAATCTTATGTCTTACAGTAAAGGTCGAAATTGTACTTCATATAATGCATTTTTTCTAGTACCTACCAAACGTCATCTAATGCGAATTGCACATTATTAGCGGTCAACAAATGGTAAAAATGCCATGCATTCTATGAACACACAACAATAAAAACATTTTTACTAAAATCATGCAAACAAATTTGTTATCTTACTAATGACAATTTGTCACAAAAAAATGCACTTTATTCCGTAATTTTATAAAAATATTCATTACGTTTGAGTCAAAATTAAAAAACGTCTATGCCGTTAGTAAGTTGCGAATGCAAACACAAAGTTTATTGTAGAAAACCATAAGTCATAAAGAAAAGTAAAATGGTAAAATTACCATTCCGTGTACAACAATATTTCAAAATAGGTCAATTAAAAAAAAATACCGTACAATTGCACACAACTAGTGTTACTACATACGTAATACACAACATCAATAATTCTATGAATGCGACATGATTCTGTCTTTACAAATATATGTCAATTCTACGTCACTTATTATATTATTAATATTTTTTATACAAAAAAGTTTTGTACACATATCGTAAGTTAATTTAGATTCTTGTTTTATTTTTAAAAACAGAATACTGCCCAGGGTTCCAAGTAAAATTAATGATAGTGTTCAAAAAGGTGACGATCGCTATTTGGAATAATTACATGAAAAAAATAATACATCTCGGCTCATGTCACTCCAATCCGCCATTACTAGTTTAAAATACATAAAAAATCCATAGGCATCGTTGTGTTTCAGCCGCTTAAGTCATTGGCCTTCTAAGTTTCATTTCATCATAACAGTTTACAAACTGACCAAATCAACTCCAATCTAAATTTTCAACCATATTGGTCGAAAAATAGGTTTCATTGTTAGAATGTTAGGAAAAATACGATCGTTGTTTTCGAACACTTCCAAAATTTTCACTATAGATAGATAGCGGTAAACTTCTTGACTTCTAACAGGCAAAAAAGCTTGCGCCGTAAACTTTTTTGTAGGTAAAATTACTACTGCGCAGGCTTTTTTATCCATAGTCGAAGATCAAGAAGTTTTGTATACTATAAGTTTAGTCTCAAGAGGTGCAACAGTCGCTCAAGCCTCTACATCCGCATTTGACTCGCCGCGCCCTTCTCCTACAAAACCCGTAACATTTCAATGCCAAACAGCACAACCCACCCTTCTTACTGGCCCCAGACTTACACGACTCCCTACTGTCCAACCTTTGCAACTCAGGCGTAAACTTATCGTTATTCAAAAGCTTATCGAGTCTATTTTTCAACTGTGTTGGTGATACACTTCTGTCGCGACACAACTTAGCTGGCCTAGAGTCTAACTTGGGGATAAAATCTACGATTTCCGGTATCTCTTCCGTGCTAGAAGCTCCTATGTCTGGAGTGTGAGAGTCTACACTTTCAGGGGTGTAAGGATCTACGCAACGTCGTACGGAGAGTAAAGTCGCATCAACATCGTTGACGAACATGACGTCACAGCTCGCGTAATCAACGCTTGTGATTTCCACGTGTGGTATACGGAATATTTTCTCGTTCAACGAGCCTGTACGAGTTCTTTTCAACCTATGATCGGATAATTGTTCGTGGTGGCTAGAGAAGGGCGTGGCGAGGGTGGATTTCACGTATAAGTCAGGGTCGGTGGGTAGACGATTTAAATGGGTTAGGGGTGAGATAGGGGAGACTAGGGGGGAGGTCGTTGACCCCGCGAAGGGGTGAGAGCGGTGCTCGAAACACTTTACGGTACCTCGGTCGCTTTGCAGCATCACCCGTAAGTAGATCGGCTGCGAATGGAAATTGGTTTGTAAATATAATAGGTTGGGTGACTGTATGATGAGTTATTGTAGTTAAATCTATAGTTATCGTTGAGAAATGGGAAACAAAGAATGATAATATCACAACTTTATGACTTTTATAAAAGTAATTTAATTTCAAACACTAAACAGCAAAATTTTCAATTCTGAAGCAAATTTTACTAGAAATAATTCAACTAGGCTTCGAAGCGAAGGACGTCAACTTATCCAGCCAGTCTAATTTCTAGGCCTAAGTTTTATTTTTCTTCATAAATATAGCTTTGTTTAGAGCAGCTCGATGTTTAGCGCGTTCAGCTGCAATCGTTCAAAATAAGCAACTTTCGCAGTGGTCGATCATTGAATGGGTGACCAAAAACATTATTTCCAGCTCCTCCGTGCTTCGGAAGGCACGTTAAGCCGTTGGTCCCAACTGTATCTGTAGTCATTAGCACCCACCAATCCGCACTGGACCCACATGGTGGATGATGGCCCGTTCTCCCTATTCCATCCAGCATTTCCAAGCGTCATCATTCAAACGCATATAGATCAAGGCCATGTTTAAGAGCTATCTTTGAATTTTTAGCTCTTCAAAATAAGCGTAACACAGAAAGGACCTCTATACGACTAATCTAAAGTATCACGGTCTTACAAAAAAGAAAATTACGACACCTTGTTAAGACAAATTATTTATTACAATTTTTCATCAACTCGTGCGCATGTCTTAGGAGCTTAGGTCATTTAATTTATCAAATTTTAAAGATAAGGTACAAATAATATTTCCACAGATAAATTTACATAAATAGCTGTTTTTATTACATATTGTCTTACTTTTTTATGGTAATAAGGTCAATGTCCATACCTTATGGTCCCCCATGCAGGCGTCGGGCCCGATGACCCCGTAGTCGGTGCGTTTCCTAGCGGGAGCGTCGACCAATCGGCGCAGTTCGCACGACAGATTATCGCTGGGTTTCGGGGAACCCTCCGATTGGTTGCGAACGAGTTTACGACGAATGGGCGATCCTTCGCACTCTGTCACCCTGCCCGAGCAAATTGGCACTCGTCAAATTGACAAAACTATATCCATCTATATATATAAATAAAATTGGTGTGTCTCTTTGAATAACCGCTTTTTACTACATGCATAGGAATATATTTAGAGGAACATACACCAAAATAACATTTTCTACAATTCTTGTCTGTATGTCTGTCTGTCTGTCTGTTTGTTCCAGCTAATCTCTGAAATGGCTTGACTGATTTTGCCGAGACTTTTATTGGCAGGTATGTAATAAGGAGTAACTTAGGCTACTTTTATTTTAGAAAAAATATTTTATTTTGGGAAAACTATAAGTTAATATGTGTTATAAACACATTAGTGCCTGTCTGTTACCTCTTCAAGCTAAAACCGCTGAACCGACTTACAGTCTTGACAATTCGAGAAGACGCACGATCTATCTTTAGATATTTTATCTCACGTGCGAACAAATTGGGACATGTTAAATGGCTAAATTACATTAAATCCATACTTAATGCTCACGTTTATTCCGGTCACTGATAAAGCGCCTATATACCCTATCACCTTGACATAAGGTCCACATTGGCTCACCGCGCGTCGATGGCTCGCTGAACACTCGTGGGATCGGCGATACTCTTCCTGCTCACATTTATACCGGGCACTGATAAAGCGTCGAGGTCGGCCACGCTGCTTTTCTTCTCGAGAGTCTTCCCTGGACTGTACTGTAGATAATTAATTATGTTTTATCTAAAGCATTAACTTATACTTAGAAATTTATCTAAAAAACAAACACGCGAGCTCGAATCCCATCTGCTGATTGGACCGCGTGGATTCTTTACTAGAAAAATTTTCATTATATGTAAATAATTTGTTTATTAAATAACATTTGCTTTTGATTTCACAGTAAAAGAAAAACATAAGAATGCGGTAGTGCGAATAATTTGGGTTATCAACGATCGAGGCAACGGTCTTGGGAAAAATGAAAAATAATATTTTTTCATCATTTATATAATAACGGATTTTATTAGAAGTTAGTAGTACTAGGCTGTTATTTACTTTTATAAGATACGTGTTTAAGGAGCTTGATCGCATAGTGCGTTAGCGTGTTTTGTCTGCGATCGTGGAAGTACGCCACTTTCATAATGGCCGGTCATAGGATGGGTGACCAGAAACAGATAATGATATAAACACGGTTGTGCCACGGTTACCTGATGGTTGTGCCTGGCCGGAGAGTTGGATCGCGCCGGACTACTGTCCGATGATGAAACTCTTCCGCTACTGTCTGTAGAATCGGCAACTGATTTCCTGAGACAAAACTCTACATTAATCTATATAATAAAAATCAATTACTGTTCGTGAGACTAACTCACTAAAACTCGAGAACGGCTGAACGGATTTATCTTATCTTGGTCTTGAAATGTTCGTGGCGGTCTAGGGAAGGTTTAAAAGATGAAAAAAAATCGAATTCTACACTACAGCTCTACACCTAAGCGAAGCGAGGGCGGGCCACTAGTATAGATATAAATAAATGTAATTTATAGCTTCTCGTGACGGCAACTATTTCACTACTAATTCTATTAAAGTACTTCAAACATATCTGTCGGTTTTTTTTAATTTTAAGTATTTTTGTAGTCAGTTCTATTATTATTAAAATGAAAATTTTTTTTAGTGTAATACGGAATACACTACTGGTTGGAAATTTTACACGAAACCGTGAAACATTGCAAGTATATTATATACTACAGGTAAACCGCTTAACTGAGTCCTCGCCCACACCCCGCAGACGAGGTCAGTTAGATCAGTTAAGCGGTCTACGTATAGAAGATTCCCGTGACTGTGAACCATTTTCAGCGCACGTATATCGTATATAGCGGTGGGTCGTTCTTAAATTTTCTGACGACGAAATGCAACCTTTTTTTCTTAAACGAAAACTAGTCCTCGAAACGGTTCTCGTTCGCAACTGGTTTTGGTTGCGACTGGGCGACGCAACGAAACATCACGCGACGGTCGAACGAATGTAACGCAACGAAACTGAACTAGATGAAATCTTGTTAACGTTCGTTTCGTTGCTGCGAACGAGACGACGAAACATCGAAATAAATGTTGTGTTATACGATAATCGACTTTAAAGGCTCAACAATAAAGATTATATTATTGTAAAATCAAAGCTTAATTATCATAGAACGAAACGGCCTCATATCATTGCGTTATATTATAGACTGTATTTTACTTCATCATAAAGTACATATTGGCGTGCAGACAATCCGAGGACTAGTTGCTCGACGAAGACTGTTTTGATCCGAAACGTAAAACGGTTCTATCGTCGCGGAACACAAAACGGTCCTTGAAACCGGTTCGTCTTTAGAACGCTCACACCTAATCGTATATCTAGGGTACTTAATATGGTTGCACTATCTGCGTTCAACCATCGGACAACCAGAGTGAGGATGGGGGGGTTACTTATTTATTTATTTATCTTTAACAAAGTTTCAACAGCAATTGTGTGGATGTAATACAATAAAATATAAATACAATCTTAAGGCCAATCACAGAAACTTATTTTGTAGACATTAGATACTAACGTAATAACGTTACTAGAGTCTGTGCGGAAAGAGAATGGGCGTGGCGAAAACGGAACTAACATTAAGATTTTTATTTGGTAATCAAACCCAGCAATCTGTGAAACGTCAAAGTTTTGTATTGATACGGATTTGTTTGTTCTTGTGATTTCTTGTGGTTTTTGTATTTAATCGTGTCTAAAAGGGGTAAAACCTTACAAATACGGTAGAAAAGCACTACAGCGCCCTCCAATCTAAATCCCATTCTCACAGACTCTATATATCAATACAACATTTAATTTTAAAAATATTATAAAATTAACTAAATACCCATATAAAAGGGTTTACAGGAAATTGTCACATGATTACTTTATGAGGTGTGTGTGTTTGTGTGTATGTAGGTATGTGTGCGTGTGTGTGTGGGGGGGGGGGGTTACCTGGAAGTATGCAGATGCCTGTTCTCCCCGGGTCGGCCTGGCTCTTGGTTCTGCACCACAAGTCTCGCTGATTGAGATAACAGTATTCTGTCGCACCACGCCGGACACCTGTGGCAGCCGGTTAAAACCATATAACCCACTATTCAGAAATTCTAACAAACGGTCGGTCGGTTCGGTTTGGTTGTTTGAAAATAGTTACACGACATTTTTGTATACTTTTCATTATGCAAATATTAAGCTATAATTTGCGAAGCCATTTAGTTAAATAAACTAGACAATTGGACTGGATTCAAATAGGGTATTTGACAGTATTAAAAATAAAGTGCCAATTGTTAGCATCTGTGTTTAGTATGAATATTGGCAGGGGTTTTTACTATTTTTACAAAAAAAAATATTCCTAATTTTACTAAAAACCCACGAAAAAGATAAGAGTCACGTGACCCAAAACGCTTGGGATTGGCGGAGCAAAAAATGACGTCACACGCAAGTAAACTTCCGGTTAAAGTGACATTACACTGTATCGTTTGACGTTCTAATTACAGTCGTGTGACGTCACACACTAGTAAGACGCCATATTGTCCAGAAAAACGTTTTCACGGCAACTTGAAAATGGAGTTTTTGATTTGGATATTTTTACTGAAATACACAACAGAATGATTTATATCCACTTTTTACGGACTCCATAAACATTAGTCAATAACGTGAGATCGTTTTCTAATACTTGTCAAATACCCTATTGCGGTGGTGCTATGTTTGTATGATAATGACTAGCATAACTGTACCTCAGTCACGACTTCTACAAAAAATAATACTCAATATCTACGTATCATTCATTATATCTAATTATTTCCGTCAGCCTAGTATCCCGTAACGTACAAGAAATACTTACTAGCGATCAGAAAAAAATATTTAACGCTATTGATAAATAAATATTTCCAACACTCACACAATTAGCCTAGACCCAAAGTAGGCACTATAAGGCTTGTGTTATGGTAACGGATAGAATACACATATAAGTATATTTATATAGAAATACATATTAAACATCCATGACTGGAGTATAAATGCTCGTGTTCATCACACAAACATCTGCCCCCACCGGGATTCGAACACGGGACCTCTCGAGACGGCGACGCCATGAAACCCGGCGTACAAACCACTCGGCCACGGAGCTCGTCAAATAGGCTATTGAATATAGACTGTCACTTTGTAGCTTTTTAATCATGAAAGCATTTCTTAAATGGGTCCTGTAGTTTTTGATTTCATTCGTTACAAAAATAAAAATCTTTAGTCTTTATTAAATTAGTATAGGAGTTAGTTAAGGAGCTCGATGGCGCAAGTGCTTAGTGCGTTCGGCTGCGATCGTAGAAGTTAAGCAACTTTCGCAGTTGTCGGTCAACGGATGGGTGACCAAAAATTTACTATCTCGACCGCCTCCGTGCTTCGGAAGGCACGTCAAGTCGTTGGTCCCGGCTGCATCTGCAGTCGTTAGTTCCCAACAATCAGTACTAGACTTGGTGGATCATGATCTATGGCCCATCACCCTATTCCATCTATAGGCTTTCCGCATGTGCCCTAGCAGTGGGGATATTAATCTAATAGGAAAGTGGGTTACCTACAATGCGAAAAAATGGTGCTGGCTTGCAACCTAAGAAATACTAGAAGAAATTTGACACGGCCATTAAGGCTGCGGTAGCATAAATGGTCAGTGCATCCACCCAGATAGCGGCGGGTGTGGGTTCGAGTCCCGCCTGATGCCTAGCCGCGTGGATATTTTTCTAGTAAGCTATTTTTCTTCAGATTTAAACATCCTTTAAGGGAGGCGTGAAGAAGCATTTTTACAGGCCGGCTACGTGAGGATGGTTGGTGTGGCAGTTTATAACAGCTGTACCATCTTCGCGTTTGAACTTTATCACCACTTAACATCAGGTGAGGTAGTGTCATTTGCCTACCTGGCTATATATAAAAAAAAATCTAGCAGTTAAATGCTTAAAATATAACTAGATTAATCAACATACGTACCTGGTCTTCATATAGTGCGTGGGTAGATGCACGTCTTCCTCGAAGGGGTAACTGGGTGGGAATTTTACCGGAAACTCGTAAAGGTGCGGCTTCAGAGCTTCCAACTCGCGGTCAAATCGTTGCAACTTATAGGAAAAATAACGAAAAATCATTTATCATTTAAAGGTTTTTTAAAGGTTTATAATTAATTTTCACCCTAATATGATGTCAGGGCCGATTAATGGCCCAGAGCCCCCACAACAGAGATAAAGAAAAACAAACGAGTGTGCTTACGACCACATGACTGAAGTGAAACTTCTTTAGCTCCATTTGTATGTATATGTATGTGTGTGTGTACAATATATACATGTATGTGCATATACATATTTCATTTACTAGGTATAAGAGAAAGGGAGAAAGAAAATGGGCGCGCGCACTGCATTCTCTTGCTTATATCCCCCACTCAACTCCCGTTCTCCTCGCCCGAACACAATTTTCATAAAGCGTAACGCATTCGCCAGCTTACCCCCCAAGTCAAGCGTATGTAGAGAAGTTTGATGGAGGAAACCATCAGTCGCCATCCTCAAAAGATGGCGCTGCCGGCGCTTCGCTCACAAAGTATAGAAGCCTACATCGCGCAAGTGAAATTCGAGGCAAATGATTAATATATGCAATGCCCGACCAACATCAGCCAGACCGCGGGTCCCGAACTAACATCACCCAGTTCGGAGGAAGATCTTCCCTTTAGCCTTCCTACATATACCGTAGATAGAAGCGAGCTATCTTAACCATGGCTTCCGGAATATCTTCTGGTACTTTTTACCAATGGATAGCACCAGCCCATCGTCGGCTGAATACTGTACTGTACGACATTTACACGCCCTACATATACCTAACCAAGATGGAGGAAATAATCACGCACCATTCTCAAGAGATGGCACTACCGGTGCTGCGCTCACAAAGTATGGAAACCTGCATCGCACAAGTGAAATTCGAGGCCCAACGATTAATATATGCAATGCCCGGACCATCATCAGTCGGACCGCGGCTCCCGAGCCAACATCACCCAGTTCGGAGGAAGATCTTCCCTTTGGCCAGCCTACATATACCATAGATAGAAGCGAGCTATCTCACCCATGGCTCCCGGAATATTTTCTGATGATCGGAGTGGGCGAACTCCTTTTTACCGATGGTTAGCACCAGCCTATCATCGGTATGAGCGCGATACTGCAGCTTGCCCGCGTCTACGTTCGCGCCGTTCTGTAGTCTGCACGCTGTTAACTCTTCCGTCACTTTCTATATGAAGAGAAAAGACAGAGAGAACATTACACATTATCCTATTATATACATATCAAAAGAAGATTCTTTTACTCTTTTGCTTAGACAAGCAACATGAACATTTTGAACTTTTAACCGATTTTTTTATATATTTAAGTAACTGACATTCTTTTGTTAATAGTAAACAATATGAGTAATGTGCGTGAAAACCTAAGAAACAAATATGATTTATCAGTTACGTTCATAACGATAATACAAAATATCAACTGACTAAACTTGCAGTTTCCATAAATTATACATATTGCTTAGACTTTTTTGATGTGTGTGTCATAATTATTATTAGCAAAATACTCCCAGGTTTACAACTTTTTTCATTTTTTTTTAATATTTTATAGAATTATTTTGAAAAAAACTGGCGTCTCTGTGACAGTATGACATTTTGAACTTAAACCCAGTTAATATAAGATCATATTTATCTTACCTTGACTACGCCTCCTGTATCTGTCCTAAAGTTGAAGTCTCCGAATATGAAGTATGGCGCCGCATTGACGTCTGAATGCAAATGGCGTAGCGTATGGCGCAATGCTCGCCTTCTACTGCGACAATATACCTACGACGAAGATTATTTGGTATGAAACTTATAAATTATCTGTAATATTATTATCAAAAGGACTAAAATAACCCAGACCAGAGCAAGATAATATTATTCTCTTTAGGCCTTCTTACGCAGGTATACATCCCGGGAAACGTCTTGAGCAACGACCATAGACAATGAAGCCTGCGCAGTAGCAACTTTACATACAAAAACGTCTATTGCGCAAGATTATTTGTATGTGATTTTGCTCAAGAAGTCTGCCTAGCCTTTAACTTCGACGTGATCCAACATAAGTAGATTTATTATGTAAAAAGCAATCATATCAAACTAGATTTTAGCCCAATTCTAAAGAGCTTAACAAGGATATACTGCTGTAAAATGTTGTTTTTAAGTTAATCAAAAGAATCAGGCCAAAATTGACAAGGTATTTTTACATAGCAAAAAAAAAGTGATATTCGCATTGCAAGTAGCATAACATAAGATTTACAATCGATTGCGAAAATTTATCCCGATACCGAAATCAATCCAAATCGAATATCGCACAAAAGCGGTACATTGTTCAATCAAATAAGTTAAAGGCGTAATTCGCTTGCACTCGAGCTCCATAAGTCGCACAAAAACTTTAAACTTTTCGAAGTCTTGCTCAGCAAATATCATCCTAAATAGGGAATATGCATGATTATTTTTGATATTTTTATTTCATAGTTTCCCTTACTACACTCCCTTAGATAGATGAAAATACTTTATTGAACACACCACATTATAAAGTACAAAGTTTGGACAATAATTTTAACAGGTGGACAATTGGCGGTCTTATGGCTATGTAGCCATTACTTCCAGATAACCATAGGATGGAGAGACGAATTTTAATTAAAGAGGGGGTGTGCCATTACAAGACTAAAATAAAAAATAAAAAAAGAAAACAAAATCTAACCATGATTAAAATTATTGTTCATATTAAATAATAGAAACTGATAAAAATTCAAGTAAACAAACAAGAACATACATCGGTGCACAAAATAAAATACACATTTTTAATAAACTTAATAATAATCATATGACTTTTCCTATAGTCTGTGCACGTCTAATCTCAACAGGAAGAGAGTTCCAGAGGCGCACAGCTTCAACACAAAAATAATATTTATAGAAGGAGGTATTGTGTACAGGAGTTTTAAGGCTCAGATTCTCTGATGAGCGTAACGTCTGGGTATGGGAACTGTGGAGAAAACTGAAAAGTTCTTTGAAATAATTGGGGTAATAGGGATTATAAAAAACATTGTAAAAAAGGGAAAGTATAAGAGTATACGAATTGGAAGCCACTTGAGTTGAGAACGATACTGGGAAACGTGATCATATTTTCTTAAACCAAATAAGAACCTGATGCAGAAATTTTGAAGGCGCTCAAGTTTATTTAGCTGGTCCTCCGTAAGGTCAGGATAGCAGGCGTCAGCATAGTCAAGGACTGGACGTAACAGAGATTGAGATAGCATAATTTTAGTGGCAGTCCCTTAACATAGTATAAAAATTATCAACGTTGAAAAAATAGTGTAAATGTATCTATAAAAAAGTTATAATAGCCCCGTTGCACAAGCATTTTAAACGCTCGCTATTTTGGAACTCTTGGTGTGACGTCTATAGCAACCTAGCAACAAAACAAACAATTAGGTGCGCGCGCACTTCTCACTCTCACTAGGTCTCGTTGACTTTGACATATCCTGTGAACATGGCGCTTGTTTCTTGATTTGTTGTTATGTATGTCTACGTCACAGCCGAGCTGTCGCGTTTCAGATATTTGAATTTCCCACAGTTTTTTCGCACATTTCAATATATAATTTCTTGTGTAACTTTTTTTCAAGAGAGTTTGTATACAAAACAGTTGAACCTTATTTGAATGACATGCATATTCCTTATTGCGGGTAACTTCTTCTATATTTATTTATTTAATATTCACTGATGGGAACGGCTCCAACGCGAGCAGATTGGACGCGTCGTGGAAGAGGTGGATGTTGACGAATTCTACTGCTGTGCCTCGTATCATCCAACGCGTCCTCAAGAACCCTTTGCGAGACCATTTGCACTGAAAAGGAAATATGATAATTAAAAAAAAGGGGGCTATTGTGTTCAAAGAGAAGTATTATAAGTCTATATTTAGACCACGGCTTTATGTATAGTATAGACCCGAAAATTAACTCGGGAAAAGGGGCAGCGACTGAAATAAGTGAATCAAAGGCCCAAGGACGAATTTTTGACAGCTCTGTAACCGATATGTTAACGCAACCGCCGTTACCGAGCTGTTTCGTCGTCAAATTTTGTATAGAAAAAACTAGTTTGTTCTCAGCCTCAGTAACAGAGGGTTGTTGATTCGTAGATTTACTATTCTTATCGTAGTGAAAAATTCTTTCATTTTTATCGATTAATTATATTATTGTTTATAATTGCCTGACATCATTATATTATGAAGAACATTTTGTCTATCAATATAAGTATTCTTCATAATAAAATTTAAGAAATTCAGAATTCAATATCGTTCTGTCTAGGCTGTTACAAGCACTTGTGAATTACGAAAAGCTACGCCATCGGTTCGCAAATCTACGGCGGGAGACCTTGTACTGAGAAGAACCGGCAAGAAACACAGCAAGGACTGTTTTTTTCCCTGTACTTATTAAATACAAACTCGTCAAATTGAAAAATGACTTCAATATGAAATAACTCATGAAGTCACTTTCCATTACAAATGTAAATGATATAAAAATTATGACTATAAAAAAAAGCCGGTCAAGTGCGAGTCGGACTCGCGCACCGAGGGTACAAACCTGAATTTTCAAAAATATTTATATTATATGATGTTACTAAAAATTTACGGTTTTACTGTACTGGCGTTACTTCGTACCAAATTTCTAGATTCTACGTTCACGGGAAGTATTTTGTTATTGCTTTGGCTTTGAAGTTTGATTTTTTCACAGCTCCAAGGGACTGTAGACCTGAGTATTAGATATGAATTTCAGTTTCATACCTCCACGCGTTCCTGAGACAAAAGGTCTTGACAGACAGACGGACGGACAACAAAGTGATCCTACGAGTATAAGGGTTCCGTTTTTCCCTATTGAGATACGGAACCCTAAAAATATAAAAATCTTATTTAACAAAGTTTAGGAATGTTTCGGAATCCAATGTCCTACTGTTTAGGCAAAAATCAATATCCCCTTTGTCACTAAATAGAGGGCTCAGGCATAATGGGAGTACTTCACAAGGTGCAATGTTACGTTCTTCTGCTACGCTGGGGTAAATCCCGAAATCCCATGGCTACCCAATATTATGAAACTCAATAAAATAAATGCTTCTTCGTAAGGCATGAAGTTACCTCGGGGAAGAAATGCTGCGGAAACTTGGCCTTCTCTTTGGTGGTGACCTTTTCAATATTTCCGCTGTGCACCTCCTTGCCCTGTACATCCACGTAAGCCTTCAGCTCGAAGTCCCATATCTTCAGGTCTGTCAGTGACGAATGGGCAAAGTACATATTCCCTAAAGCCTGAAAAGAAAACTTGGTATAAGCATTCAAACTATACTCTATATATATACCTACGACTAAACACTTGGTCGTTAGCCCGAATTCTGGTGCACGATTTCGGGCATCAGATGCAATAATTACATTGTTACTGGGACACGGGCAAAAGACCCTGCGCCCGCGTTCATTTTGGAACGTACCTCCTCGTTGATGCCAGATTGGGGGGATTCCCCTCAAAGTTGGAGGAAATTAATGGAGGGAAAATAACTGATACTACTGTTTGAAAGAAAAAAGGGGTCTGGAAATCAAAACGAAAACTGTTCGAATACCGGCGTATTCGACTCTGTTCATTCACACTTAGTCGATCGTATACGAGCTAACGACTTGCAGAAAATTTGCTAAATCTCGATTCGACTAGAACTAGATTTAACCCATAGAGAAATGACAAAATGTCAATTTGACATTATTGCATGGGCTACATCTAGTTTTAGTTATAAATTGAGATTTTAGCAACATTGCTGCAAGTGGCCCCAAATGTAATGCGCCTTAAACCTGTTCATGCATTAAGAAGTTAATGAGGTATAGTTATTTTTTAAATTCTATAGAAATTGACTTTGTGTTGTGTGACTAGTATTAGCTCATAGTATTCACGATACAAGCCAAATAGATTATATTTCATTGTTTTGTCTTCATTGTAACAAATCGCGGTTTTCGTATTGGCAAAATGCCGAAACCAATAAACTATCGGATAACCCAGTTACGCATGCATTGTTTGTCACCAGAAAATAGAAAATGACGAGTACGATGGCGCAGTAGTTAGTGTTGGGGTTGTGATGCAAGTAAAGAAACTTTCAAAACGGCCTGAATGACCAAAACTTTGTCATTACAGAATAGAACTTTCGTTCTGTAAGCCAAACTTGACTATTGCAGTCGTTAACATTCTTCAATCAATGGGAATGATGACTGAATATCTTTTCCTCTTGTATCGGGTGGATTATCAAAATTATTGCATACATATTTTTTCCTATTCACAAAATCCTAACATTACAGAAATATATATCATTGATTTGAAATTTCGCATGAGGTCAAGCTTCAGTACAATGTTTTCTTAGAAATGACGTCACGACTCCCAAACTTTGACGCGCCTTAGCTTTGTAATTTTTTGGTTGATTGACAAAAGAACAAAATAAGTGCCCATTTTTTTAAATAATAATTGATGGGCTATAGAACGTCGTTTACCTCACCCAGGCATCATCCCTATTATTATTACTCTACCAGCAAGAAGCACACTGGGAGCAGTGTGCTTCTATCCATCATCGACATCAGCCATTGGACGATCATTACTGGACATAGGCCTTAAAGGATTTCCATATGCAACGATCCTGCGCTCTCCGCATCCAATGGGCCCTCCCGACTCGGTTGATGTCGTCAGTCCACCACGTGAGGGGTCCACCGACACTACGCTTCCCGGTGCGAGGTCGCCATTGAAGCAATTTGGAACTCCAACGTTTATCAGTTCGCCGAACTATGTAGTTAAGTCCATTGCCTTAGTCTATGGTTGTGACATATGCCGTATCTATGGACAGAAGCACACTGGGAGAACTGCACACTGCTTCGTCTCTCTTACACTTACCTGTCCGGTTTTACTTTTACAATTTGAGTTCATTATCTGGTCACAACACAACAGCGGCTACAATAGAAACCTTAAACAGTAATGATTATGTGATTACACTCACCGTAAACTTCTCCGGCGAGCTGAAGTCCTCGTCCAGGAATATCCTGATTTTGTCGTAGAGCCTCAACTCTGGGCAGTCGCAAAGCCTCTGCACGAAGTCCTGGACATACTGCATGGACTTCTCGTACGCCTTGCCACCCACTTCCTGGAGGTGGAGGGCGATGAACTTGGGGTCCATCCGGGAGACCGCCTGGAGGAACTCCGATGTCCATATCGGCAGCATCACTGATGGCTGTTGGATAAATGTTTGTGACAGATAAAGTAAATTGAAAAACTGTCAATTTTCAGCACTTTTACGTTTCGAACATAACATAATTATTGCGTTTTTATTATACGAAATTATTAGCCTTCTCACTACTTTCCCATATAAACTTCGATCTTGCAAATATCTCATTATCCTTCGTGGGAAAAATATGTTTAAAAGGGAACTTACAAGTTTTTCCGTATGTCATCGCACAATCAAAGTATATTAGAGCGGTTTTTTTTTTAAATATCGTAATTACAGCGCTGTTTTCAGGAGCAATCATTAAAAGGGTCGCGCATGTTTTCCATCAATCATTAAGTATTATAGGTACTTATTTGATTATCAGAAACTTTTTCCTCAATTAAAATCTCATGTCGTCAGTTCATTGGGGGCTAAATATATCCCTATAAATCGTGGGAAGTCACGCAATTTGTAAAGATTCCGCTATTCGTATCATCGACACTCTGAGTATGATATCACGTGTTATTAGGATTAACGAACATAGCGTCATGTATACAGATTCAGCTCTTGATTTGGAAAATGGTCAATAAACTTTTGTGTTCCTATGAAAATATTCAAAAATAAAGTATGGAGCTTCGCAAAAGGACAATTAACTAGGAGAAAAACTGTTTTACAATTTATCGAATGATGAAAATAAGAAGTTAGAACTTTGGGATTATATACACTGGATTCTGGTATGATTCTCTTAACTTTAAACTAAATTTAACAACAGTCTCTCCACTTAATTCTGTATAGAAAATAACAAGGATACAGTTTTTAAATTGAATTTTAGATTTAGAAAATCATGTCCGATTCGACCTACACCATTATGTTACATATTAAACATTACATAAATTACCTTGCAAAGGGTACCTGAATGTCATACCCGGTCACTTATCGAATGTCTGCATGTTGAATCTGTATACGAATATTATAAAGTTGAAGAAGAAAAAGTTTGTTTTTTTGTTTAATTGAACGCGCTAATATAAAGAACAACTAGGCCGATTAAAAAAAATGATTTTGTGTTCTATAGTGCATTTATCGAGGAAGGCTATATAACATCACGCTACGGCGAGTAGGAGCGGAGCATGCATGAAAAATGCGAAAACGGGGGAAATAATATTCCATTTGAGTGCTTCCGGTGCGTGTGCTGCGTAAATGGTTAAAGTTACACAAAAATCATGTATAACGGAATTGCTCCCCTTTAAAAGTTCTATAAAAAAGCTCACGACAGCATATGTCTATATATCTTTTAAGTTGGACTCACTAGTCCAACTTTTAAAGGGGAACAATTCCGTTATACATGAGTTTTGTGTAACTTTAACCATTTACGCAGCACACGCACCGGAAGTTCGATAAAAACTAGGACTAGTGAGTCCAACTTAAAAGATGGACATATGCTGTCTGTGTAGGAAAAAGGATACCACTGTATTCTCTAAAATTAACCACATCCATTGACATTCAACGACTATTAGGCGACACGAAGTCATTTAGTAACTAATAAGGAAGGATTTGATTTTAAAATGAGGAGCTGGCGAACAAAACGGTATAATTACATAAAATTAAATTTTACAGGAGCTGTATAAAACTGAATGACATACCTACAGTGAGCTTTTGGTATGGTTTTAAATTTATGAATTTTGTAATTTTAACACTGTTTTAGGCGGTTTTGATTGAAAATTATTTGAGATTCAAATTCAACGGGCCGGAAACCTCCGGACTGTAAAATAATGTAGTTTGAGTAATAATAAGTAAAATAATTACAGTTTTGTTCGCCAGCTCCTCAAACGGTACTTCTATATATGTATATAGCTTTACTTATAATGCTTATAAACTGTTACATATTTTAATTTATTCCTGTTTTAAAGTGGTTAGCCATTACGACGACATGATCGCAGCACCAACCCCGATTTAATAAAATCGTTTAAATGTAAAAGCATCTATATAAATGAATTATATAGTTAAAATTGCTAATATTTTCTTAAATATATGTATGTTAATTTAGTAATTTATAAAGATTGCATATATCATATCATTTTCATAAAATAAATAACTTTCGTCAATTGTCAGTTGAAAAAAAAAAATTAATTATCATTTCCCTTGGTTACGCTATAACTTGAAAACGACTTGACGTATTTTTCTTTGAGTTTTCTAATATTTTGTAGAAAGATGTTACGAAAAAAAGAAAGAATTTTGCGCGAAACTAAATTTAGAGAAGCCAAAGTCGCGAGCGGAAGCTAGTTAATCTATACTACACTGTAGAACTAAGTATCACAATTTTAAAATTGCAATTACTTTTTAAGTATCATCATCATCATCATCGACCCATGCTCGTCCACTGCTGGACATAGGTCTCTCCTAATGCACGCCACTGCTCCCGATTTTCTGCCACTCTCATCCAGCCCACTCCAGCCAGCCTACGAATGTCATCATCCCATCTTGTCTCAGGGCGTCCCACACTACGTTTACCGAGTCGCGGTCTCCACTCAAGATCTTTACGGCTCCATCGGCCGTCAGTTCTGCGGCTAATGTGACCAGCCCACTGCCACTTCAGTTTGCTAATTCGGTGGGCTATGTCGGTGACTCTGGTTCTCTGTCGGATTACATCATTTCTGATGCGGTCCTTCAGGGATACTCCGAGCATAGCCCTTTCCATAGCTCTCTGAGCGACTTTAAACTGGTGGACCAGTCCAGCCGTGAGTGTCCACGTCTCGGCGCCGTATGTCATAACTGGGAGGACGCACTGGTCGAAGACTTTCGACTTAAGACATTGAGGGATGGGTGACGAGAAGACTTGACGAAGCTTATGAAATGCTGCCCAGCCCAACTGAATTCTTCTATTGGCTTCTCTCTCAAAGTTGTTTCTGCCTAATCGGAGCGTTTGTCCTAGGTAGACATATTCCTGAACAACTTCGAGAGGTACTCCATTAACAGCAACCAGTCCCGGATCAACGAGCTCGTTGAACATGACCTTGGTTTTATCCAAGTTCATCCGGAGACCGATGCGTTTGGAAGATTCAGCCAGGCTACTCACCATCTCCTGTAGGTCTTGCAGGGTTTCAGCCAGGATGACGATATCGTCCGCGAATCGAAGGTGTGAGATGTATTCGCCATTAATATTTATTCCGCGTCTTTTCCAGTTGAGCGTTCCGAACACGTCCCGCAGCGCAGCGGAGAAGAGTTTCGGGGATATTACATCTCCTTGTCTCACACCACGGCGCAACAGGACAGGCTCGGTCTGGCCATTCTGGAGCACGACGGACATATTAGCGGCGTTATACAGACATCTCAGCACCTCGATATATCGCCAATCAACTTGGCACCTCTGCAACGCCTCAAGAACAGACCAGGTCTCGACGGAGTCAAAAGCTTTCTCATAGTCCACAAACGCCATGCACAGGGGCTGGTTATACTCTTTGGTCTTCTGTATAACCTGTCTCACTGTGTGAATGTGGTCTATGGTGTCATAACCCCGTCGGAACCCGGCCTGTTCTGCAGGTTGAGCTTCGTCAAGTCTTCGTGCAAGGCGATTCGAGATGACTCTCGAGAACAACTTATAGACATGGCTCAGGAGTGAAATTGGTCGATAGTTCTTCAGTAAGGTTTTATCGCCTTTCTTGAAGAACAATACGACCAAGCTCCGGTGCCACGCCCTAGGAGTTCTCCCAGAGAAAAGGACCGAGTTAAATATACGCCGGAGCTCCTTCAGCACCGGCTTGCCGGCAGCTTTCAAAAGCTCGGTTGTGACTCCGTCTTCCCCCGGGGCTTTTCCATTTTTGAGTTGCCCAAGAGCCGCCTCGATCTCCTCGAGGCTGATGTCGGGGAGATCCTCCGTCACATGGCGGGTTAATGTGGCTCTTGAATCGCTTCTATCCGGCGTAGGGTGGGGCGAGTGTGACGCGTATAATCGGCTATAGTAGGTATAAACTTCCGAAAGAATCTCCGGTTTCGACGTGACTACTTCTCCATTTGTTTTGGTCAACTTCGTCAGGTGGCTCCTTCCAAGCTGTTGTACGAAGACTTTGGACCCCCGGTTCTGCTCAATTATTATATTATTTATTTAAAAAATATGATACTAAGTTTTGCAGGCCAGTGTATTAATATAAAGCTGAAGAGTTTGTTTATTTGATTGTTTGCTTGAACTTATATCAGGAAATATCGGTTTGATTTGTTATAAAAAAACTGGACAACACGCAACAATTATGCAGTCCAGAACTAAACACAGCTTGTTTCTACTATATAACACTAAGTAAAACAAAAACTAAGTAAAGTATGGAAAAATCATTATCTTCATCTAATGATGCCTATTATAGGCTATAGGCTAATGCCTATTATGCTGGGGCACAAGCCTTCCTTATGGATGGAATAGAGAATTAGGGACCTATTGAAGCGCTGGGACTTTGCTAACAGTAACAGTGGCACCGCTTCTGATTTAGCTGGACTACTTAATCAATGGGGATTGGGGAGACCAATTCTACTCAGTAAAGTAGTGACTTGGAGTAAGAGCTATTCATAATTTGAAACAATATGCCTGCCCCTCCTTTGAAACAATATGCCTGGGGAGCTTATTGTGGATAAATCCCGACGGCATGTCGTCAGTTCCATTGCCACGCAACGGGGATACACAGTTCGCGAAATCTACAACAGCGCAGTCTGCAGCCTATGTCCTACAAAGGGTCCTATCCCTTCGATGTCCAGAGACACCATGTGAACATGGACACTCTACCCAAATGATGCTGGACTGACTGGCAAATTAGATACCTACCATTTACCACACTTCTGGAGCCTGGAATCAAGTGTGTAATCGGTAATAGGTGCTATAGCTGGATCTATCTTATGATTCCTTTAGTGTTAAATATTAGCATTAGCTAGGGCAACTTGCCTTCCATATGGATGACACAGGGAGAATGGTCCATAACCCACCACTCGAGCTCATTGCGGATCGGTGGGTGCTAACGACTGTCTACAATGTCTAAGGGATTTGGTTC